AACTACAAAGCTTTGTCTTAAGCCGAAAATCAAAGGCGCATCTACACAGATCAGTGTGACGCATTCACGAGCGTCAGATAGCTGTGGTGCATTCAGGAGCATGGGACATTTCACACTTACAAGGAAAGAGACATAAACGTAACAGAACTTAACTCATACAATAATTTAATGATAAACAGTGTGGGCTTTCTTATAATAATGAATGCTCTATAATTGTATTTCTGTTTTTTCATCTGCTAGCTTTTTATTCTAAAAAATCTATAATATTACAGCAGCAAATTATCAAAGTTTTTCAAAAGCCTGTTTAAAAGCTCCAAAATGAATACAGTCAAGTGTCAACTCCTCTGAGCTAGCACGGGATGCAATTTTTGGCAATTTCTATTTTTTTTTTCTTTTTTTTTAATTCAGTGTATAACATGAGCGCATAAATACCTCATATTATTTCAGTGTTAAATTCTGTTTAATCAGAATCTGAATATGATTCTGATTCTGATTAAAGTAACAGATCATTAAAAATGTCCCAGGACCTTTACTGGTTAATGATTTTCTTTATTTGGCTGATTTTTAATTGGTTACCCGTGGTTTAATGTTTATAAATATTTATTTCCCGTCATGTGCTCCATCCAATGCAGATCATTGGCTCCATCCACATCAAATGAAAACTAGTGTCATTGGATGAGTCATATAATGCAAACACTCATTGGTTAGCTAAAGGAAATCATCAGAAGCAAGCAGGTGTTCTTCAAACTGCTAACGTGAATTGTCTATGCCATGCTACAATGATGGATTTAGAAAAAGATGTTGAAATGTCTGAAAGGTCGGACAAAGGCGAGAGCGTATCGGGAGACGGAGACCTACAAGACCTCCCTCATCCTTGGCGCTATCTCAAAGAATTTTTTAAAATAGTTTAGAAATTGAGCTTTCAGTTCATATAGTGGCATCTGGCTGTTTTTATTAAAGGTTAATGTATACTTTTATACTTTAAGTAGTTTTTGGAGCACATACTTTTTTAAATTTTACTTTAGTAAAGAGGTCAAGTCGATACTGTGTGTGTGTGTGTGTGTACTTTTGACACCACTGTTAGCCGCTGCAGAGTCCCTGCCACTGCAGAATCTACTGTTCTTTGTTCGAATAAATGCCCTTTAAGTATTCCACTGTCTGTCTTGGCTGAATTCTGGGTCCTACGTTCTGAGCCTTCTGACACTGGCTCCAAATTCTCTGATTTATCTGTGTTTCTACATACCTAACTGTTTGCTACCGATGTCTACTGTACAACATCCTTAGCTAAGAATTAGAATGAGAAAAGCATGTGTAAACAATGATCTTGAAACACTATTGTGTAAAGGTCGTAAAAATAGGTGGAAAACTGCCAGTCTTCTTCACAGCATCAGTTTTTGCAGGATGTTGGTAATTTCTTTAACAATAATAAGTGATCTCTAAACTGGGAGGCTCTTCGATCCTGTCCAGGCAACCATAACAACACCTTCCCCTGCATCATTCATCTCATCCATGAACAAAAACATGTGAGTAGGTGACATGCAGAGTTCAAAGCTGAACTCCTGAGAGGTCACCAACCAGACACAGGCAAAGAGGAGGGGGCGCCAACACTTCTTCATTTCTGTTTTCACGGACAACAATGAGAAACAAATAAATCTGCTTTCACAGAACATGTTTGTCCAAACAAACGTCATAAGGTCCTCCTATTGTAAAAATGTCATAATGTGCTCTAAATAAGGCTTTGATTATTTCAGGTAAGAAATGACATTTCTAAACATGTCTCTCTTTGATGTAATTCCCGGTATAGCAGGGGACCTTTTCAGCACAAAAGAAGAATAAAAAACTCACCATGTTGACCTCAGAGATGCTGTCAATGCTCTCCACCTGCACATCGATGCCCACAGGGATGGCTGAACCTGAAATAATGACAAAAAGGTAAAACTAACAATCTGAATGCAGTGATTTTATTTTAATTTACTTTTACTTGCTTTATTTTAAAATTTCTGCTACTTGCTACAACCATTATTCCTATTCCAAATGGACCGCAGATAAAAAGTAGCCTTCATGGCGAATGATTGGCATGTCCTGTAATAATATATTAACTATAATAACAAATATTGCTTAATATGGCTTAATCATTGGTCTAACATTTAATTTTTACTCTAAAAGCAAATGTTAGCCAGAACAACTGTTACTGTTATAACTCTGAACTTAACTAGATGTTAACTTAAGGAAAAGTCCCCGAAATTCTTTCTAACCGAAGTAAGTATTAGCTTCGTAGTTTTAGTAGTTTAAAGAGCTCTATTACCTTTTGTAATTTTTAGCTTAAGTAGTTTTTATTTAAAGTAGCTGTTGGATTTAAAGATTTTTAGGTTGAGTATTTTTGCTTACTTAATTTATTGCTGTTTTAAATAACTTTTAGATAACTGTTAGACTAACGTTTTCTGCTGTAGTTTCTTGTCCTGCAGCCACACGACAATTTATTTATACCATTAGTGCAGAGCTATGAACTCTCTTAATACCATGATACAAGACCTTGTTTGTACTGAGAAAAGCTCTCTAAGGTTATCTTCTAATATGTGGTGTCACTGGCGCCCAAGCCTGTATTTACAGTAGCAGGCATTAAAAATGGCCCTTCCCAGTGAAACGCCAGCGAATGGCAGCCCGCTTCTTTCCAACTCCCAGCCAAATCCCATCCAATGTCTAGCCACCGGCCTTCTGCTGGGTGTGCATATTTTATTACTCTGAATCCACCCTTTCATGGAATTACAGGATCCGACCAGGAGATAACACTTCTTTTTAGATCTTAATGTCCACAAATCATGACAGAAAAAATATTTTAGTACAAAAATTGTTTAAAAATGAATTGTAAGGGACCAGCCAAGGGCCCATAAAGGAAAGCCGGGAAATTTTAAAGGCAACTAATGTATAACAAATGTGCAATTTTCTCTGTTTTGTTTTCAAAGTCTTTAAAAGCCTTGTGTCCTTCATAAAGTCTGAATGAATGCATGAATGATAAAGAAGGATGGCTTTGTCCTAGCAGCTCCTCTATAGCTTTTTCTGAGGATTTTAAAAGGAAAAATTCTTTATAAAATGAAGAATATCATGGACGAAACTTAGCCTCCCCTTCAAGAGACTGATAAACACCAGCAGAGCATCAAAGACCTCCTCAGATTGATTGCAACACAAACTACTAACCGCTCCTTTCTGCCTACAACCAGTGGCGGACCAGTGTCCCCCAGGCAAACTTTAGTAAAGAGCCCCTCCGCTAAATGATTCTTAATTTCTCAATGAGCCCTGAGTGCAACAGACTCTGTAAAGCTAAAACTAAACTGTTCATCACTTGTAGCTTTTATTCTAGTCCCTCTCCTGGCATCCACTGCTGAAAAATAAAAGCTACTGATCCTACAATAATGGATATACACAGTACTCGAGTTGAGGGCGGATGGCATTCCGCTTCTTAAATAAATCTTAAAAATCATCCCCCTTCTTAAAGGACATTTTATCACTGACTGTGTAATGCCAGTTATATATTTACAGTAATAGTAATAATATTGCCTTTGCATCATTTGGCAGGTTGTGCGCTTACAAGTAGCCTGGCCAAATTATGGTGGCCCAGAGTGCACATGCAATTTCATTTTCATCCTCAGTGGTGCAACCAGCGGAGCAGCTGACGGTGCTCTGAACAGCATCACAGCCAAGCAGCAAAGACAACGTGATTTTAGGGACTTTATTTATAAGAAGGCAAAAACTAACGCATCAGGTAAGTCAAGAGTCAGAAGACATGACCTTTTCTAAGCTTACCATTGTGTCATCTAATATATAGAAGTCCTAATCTCTGGACATCGCAATAGCATGCAAGACTAGGTAAAGTAGTTTGAAGCGCAAACATTTTTCTGTCTTTAAAGTTGTCATGACACACGAGAATTAGTCTGGAGAGTACAGGAATTGCTAAACATCCAAAATCTGATTTCAACATAAAATGAATCTGTAGACTAGTTCTGTTTTGCTGGATGACAGCCAGAATCTAGAAGATGCTGGAGAGACAAGTGGAGCTGTGGCTGAGAGCAGTGGAGGAAACCTGCAGGAGAGAATTGAAGGTTTGAAAAATGCTTTTTAATTAAGCCATTTAAGACCAGTGCTAAGATTATTATCTTTAAAGAACTGCCAAATGTGATGTAAATGTCTGGCCAACGGTGATATTGAATGTTGACATCTGACTGCAAGGTCCCTCATGTGACTTGCAGAATGCCTGTCGTCTGATCAATGGTTAATGGCTTCAGTTCGGCGGATCTGTTAAATAGATTTAACTCGTTCATTGCCAGCATGTAGCCTAGCTTCCATTAAATTAGCCAATAGAAGCAATTCTGATAATCAGTCTATTTTATAAAATAAATACTTTAATAGATTTTATATAGGCTTATTTCATTTTTAGGCTAATTTTAATGTATTTGAATAAATAAATACTTGACTTGAAAGGAATTAGATATTTATTTCCAATGTTTTTTGAGGTTTTTCTTCCAAATCTTAATAGATTAATTGCCAAAAGATTTTCCAAAGTAAAATCAAAGAAGTGTCCTAGCATGACCATGAAGCTGATCCCAGTGGGAAATTAGTCCCTAACTCTGTAGGGGCAGTGATAGCCATGCCAGTCCAGGGACTGACTGTAGTTCTACTGAAATGTGCCTTGGTCAAGGTCAAGGACAAGGTCAATGATCGGCGTACATGACAGGTAACAACCATACCATGCATATTGCTTTAGGTTAACAGAATAGATTAATTAGGCTATGTATGCTTAAAAACAAAAACAAAAAAACAATTCCGCCACCCCCCTTCTTTATTTTTTACAACTAGATTGCTGGATATACATGTACGTTTGGGGGGAGCTGTTATTCAATGGGCATGGCCCCTAGAGCTTAATACAAAAAAACGGATAATGTGTATTTTTCAGAAACACTGCTGCTCTGTATAGCAGGCATGACTTTTAGCTCATTTAACGAGGAGATGATAAATGTAAAAT